GAAAAACTGACTGTTGGGTGCTATGCTTAGTACCTGGGTGATGGGATCATTCATAACCTAAAACCTCATCATTATGGAATATACCCAGGTACTGCACATGTATCCCCTGAATCTAAAATAGAAGTTGGAAAGAAAATGTTTTTGTTGTTATTCCAACAATGTTCACAGTATCTTTACCAGGAGTAGACTCCATCTGAAGAAATCACTTTCTTTGCTCATGAAATTTTGTCATGAGATTGCAGTAATCAGTCACATCTTTAGGCTTAACTTCTAGTTTTCCTGCTATTTTCCACCACATCTGCAGTTACTTACTCCACTGAAGTCTCGAACCCCTCAATGACATCCATGAGAGTTGGAATCAACCTCTTCCAAACTGTTGCTAATGTTTATGTTTTGACCTCCTCCCATGAATCACAAATGTATTTAGTGGCATCTAGAATGGTGAATCCTTTCCAGAAAGTTTTCAATTTAGTTTGCCTAGATCCATCAGAGGAATCACTATCTATGGCAGCTATAGCCCTACGAAGTGCATTTCTTAAATAACGAGACTTGAAAGTCAGAATTACTCCCTGAGCTGCAGGCTGCATAATGGGTATTGTGTTAGCAGGTATGGAGATGGCTTCTTTCCTTAAACATCATGAGCCAGTATCTGCTACTTTCAAAATTTTCTTTTACAGCTTCACCTCTCTCCACCTGACTAGAATTGAAGAGAGTTAGGGTCTTGATCTGGACTAGGCTTTGACTTAAGGAATGTTTGGCTGGTTTAAGCTTCTGTCCAGACAATTAAACTTTCTCTATGTTAGCAGCAATGCTGTTATGCTTTCTTATCATTTGTGTGTGTTCAGTGGAGTAGCACTCTCAGTTTCCTCCCATAACTTTTTCTTTGTATTTACAACTGGTGTAAGAAGCTTAGCTTTCAGCCTGTCTTGGCTTTTGACATACCGTCGTCACTAAGCTTAATCATTTTTGGCTTTTGATTTAATGGTGAGAGACATACAACTTTTCCTTTCACTTGAACACTTAAGAGGCCATTGTAGGTTAATTAATTGGCCTAATTTAAATAATTGTTGTCTCTCCGGAATGGGGAAGCCTCAGGAGAGGGAGAAAGACAGAGGAAGACAGAGACTGCTGGTCAGTGGAGCAGTCAGAACACACCTAACATTTATCAATTAAGTTCTTATGTGGGCACAGTATGTGGCGCCCCGAACGATTACAGTAGTAACATCAAAGATCGCTGATCACAGATCACTGTAGCAGGTAAAATAATATTGAAAAAGTTTGAACTATTGTTGAGAATTACCAAACTGCGACAAAGAGACATGAAGTCCCAGCACGTGCCATTGGAAAAATGGTGCCAAGAGGCTGACACGATGCAGGGTTGCCACAAACCTTCAAGTTGGAAAAAATCTCAGTATCTGCAAAGCACAGTAAGGCAAAGTACAGTAAAACAAGTCATGCCTGTAACTTATCAAAACCTCCTTCTCTTTGGTCTTAGTTTTTTTAAAAAAAAAAAAGAAAGAAAGATCATCTGCAAGTTCCTTTTAAGTGAGAATTAATTTAGACTTCAATTATTTATTTAAATGTCTTTCATAATAACACCATATGGTAATGGGATAGAGCTTAAACTCTGAAGTCAGGCAAACCTGTATTCCAGTGTGGCTGCCTTGGTCTGGTGGCTGTATGACTTTGGACATGTTATTAGCCACTCTGAGCTTCACTCTCCTCATCTGTGAAATAGAACCAATGATTACTCTGAGAAGTAAATCTGTAAAACTACAGAAAGAACATGGTGTGATAGCTAGTATTATGAACATGGAAAGTTACTCAGAGTCATTCATCTGTTATTACCATCATCCAGAGTGATGCAGGTTGGAAATTTTTGTGTTTATCTCTTTTTTAGCATATATCGTACAGTATTGAAGTAATCTATTCTTGTCTTTCTGTCTAGACTGGGAGCTCTATGAGGACATAAACTGTGTCTCATTGACTCTTGTATTTCTAGTGTTCAGTACAGTGCCTTTCAGATGGTGGACATTCGGTAAAGATTAGTGGAACAATTGAGGTGTTTTCAACCTTTTTTTAAAACTTTTTTTTTTTTTTTTTGCTAAAAATAAACCTTATACTTGCCTTTAGTGTGACTTGAAATTCAGAAGACTTAAAATGTGGTATCTGAAAACAAACTAATGTTTTGTGACAAAGCATTGTTTTATTTTCCAAGTGCTTATTAGGTAGCTTAAAAGATTATGATATACAGCTTATGGGGTTCCATTCTACCTGACTGCATTCTCTGGAGAATCAGCCAGTGGATAAATTGCCCCGAAACAACTTGAGTTTTGATGTGAGTTGGAATATACTGACTAGATATATGATCTTAGTTTCCTCAGTTCTGAAATTATGAGGGTTGGATTGTAATAGACTTTTAACATATCTGTCTTTAATTTTTAGTTTACTAATAATACTTAATAGTTGAGTGCTTACTACATGCTAGATAACCCTGCCAATGCTTTTCATGTATTATCCCTTAATCCTGAAAAATCTCAAGTGGCTACTGTGTTTATTATGGTCACTTTACAAATGAGAACAAGCAGAGTAGCTCAGTACAGAAAATTATGAAGAATATCAACAGTGCATTCACTGAGTAGAAAAGCAACTGAATGCTTGTTGCGGAGGTCAGTGAGATAGAGGTAAATGCAGATTCATCTCCTACTGCTAAACTTAGATTGTTGCAACAACGAAGGCTTACACAGCAGGAGGCTGCCCAAATGTTAAACTGCACTCCAAAGATGGCCAAACGTATCACTTGAATGGCTATGTCCGGAGAGGAGGGGCCACCTTAAGGTGATATGAGACACCATATCACCGTTTGAGAAGACTCGTAGCTTCTAAAGTTGTGATATATCCCTCATATTTCAAGAAATTTAACATAGCAAAGGAGCACTTTCTTCCCCCAAGAGTCCTTAAAAATGTGTTTTCCGTGTTTAAGATAAGTACCTCTATTGAGTTCTACTCTCAATTTAAGAAGCCCTTGAAGGTGTTCTAGCAGCCCTTGTCACCTTTTCCCACGAAGTCAGAAGTCAGCCAGTGAAGTGCTAGTGTTGGCAACAAATAAGAAGTAGATCATTAATTTGAAAAGTGTGTGTTTTAATTGTTTTTTAAAAAAACTTTCTTCTATTTCCTTTTATACTCATTTAGGTTTTTCTGCTTCCTCTGATTATAATAGTTTTTTTAAAAAAGGCCACCATTTTTTCATTGCGTGTGTGTGTGTGTGCGTGTCAGTCAAATACATAGACTGACCTCTTCTGTACAACAGGTCAAATAAGTTTCTCCTACGGGCCTGCCTTGGAGACTATTACTGATTTATAATATTTCTATGGAAAAATGTGTTCAAAATTTTGCGTAACTTTTCCACATTGGAGGTGCCTGTTATTCCATATGGATTAAGTTTAAAAGTTATTTTGATTATAGGTTAACACCCTCAGTAGTAGTTTAAAATTAAAGTAGATTTAGAGATTCAAGAGAAAACAGAAAATACTTTAAATTGTGCCTGATGATTTGAAAATTTTATTTTAAATTGTTCGTGCCACCAAAGGGGAAAGAAATTAGAAAGAGTGTGTGCGCATGCATGGACATGCATAAATTAGGGATGGTTTTGATGGATTTTAGTCACAGACATGCTGATCATATTTTGCCTGAATTTTGTGAAATGAGTAAATTATCTCATTTAATGGTGGATTTCAAGAATGTTGGAATATTAGAAAATACTGTGTCATGGGCTGGGTGCGGTGGTTCATGCCTGTAGTCCTAGTACTTTGGTAGGCTGAGCTGGGCGGATCACGAGGTCAGGAGTTTGAGACCTGCCTGGCCAACATAGTGAATCCCTATCTCTACTGAAAATACAAAAAATTAGCTGGGTGTGGTGGTGGGCGCCTGTAATCCCAGCTACTTGGGAGGCTGATATAGGAGAATTGCTTGAACCCGGGAGGCCGAGGTTGCAGTGAGCCGAGATCACGCCATTGCACTCCAGCCAGGTGACAGTGTGAGACTGTCTCAAAAAAGAAAAGAAAAGACTGTGTCATGTTAGCCAGAATGTTTGTAGATATGTTACAGCAAATTAAAATTAGTGAATTCAATTTATATAAGGAAGTTCATTTGACTTGAGCCATCATGTATTCAGAAGAAGTGGATTTGAGTATACCCTTTTCTTTTGTAAATTCTAATATTTAGTACTTTTTTGTTGTTTTGTCAGTCATACTGTTAAAAAGGTAGAGGCAGAGTACAAAGTTGGTATTGGAGAAACTAGCTTGGGAAAACAACTGATGTTCTGTCAGGATGATCCTGAAATTCATATTAATTACTTTTTTAAATAATTGTGCCTTGAGTTATAAAGAAAGCTATAATCCTGAGCCACGTAATCCCACATAGCTTCCATGCAGCCAGGAGACATGGAGTGCTGGGCACTGGGCATGGCTTTAGGCCTTGTTTTTTTCCCCCCAGCTCTTCTGGAGCCTGTGGTATGTGACTCCCTCTTTAGGGTGTCCACAGGATTTTAGGCTTCTGAGATTTCATTCCTTATTTTTTTCTGGGAATATTCTGTGTTGTGCGTAAGTATTTTTTTTTTTTTTTTTTTTTTTGAGACGGAGTCTCGCTGTGTCTCCCAGGCTGGAGTGCAGTGGCGCGATCTCGGCTCACTGCAAGCTCCGCCTCCCGGGTTCACGCCATTCTCCCGCCTCAGCCTCCCAAGTAGCTGAGACTACAGGCGCCCGCCACCACGCCCGGCTAGTTTTTTGTATTTTTAGTAGAGACGGGGTTTCACCATGTTAGCCAAGATAGTCTCGATCTCCTGACCTCGTGATCCACCCGCCTCGGCCTCCCAAAGTGCTGGGATTACAGGCTTGAGCCACCGCGCCCGGCCGTGCGTAAGTATTTTTTAGCTTAATTCACTTCAGCTTGATGTTTGTGACTTGGCATCCCTCTTCTAATAGTGCTCTTACTTTTTATAGGTATGCCTTACACTTTCTTGTACAAAGTGGAATTTCCTACTGTATCATGATCATCATAGGAGTGGAGAACATGCACAAGTAAGTATTCACTTTATTCACATGCAAGTAGATATTTCACTTGAATAGAATTGCATCAGAATAGAATTTTATTCATTACATTAAAAGTAATTCTGAATTGTGATAACTTTTTAAAGAAGAATTGTCATAAATACAAAAATAAAATCATTGGTATGCATCATTCTTCTTTTTACTTAAAGCACCGTTGACATTTTGGGATGGATGATTCATTGACGTTCAGGACTAACCTGTGCTTTCTTTGTAGGATGTTAGGTAGCATTCCTGGCTTTTACCCCCTAGATGCCAGTAGCACCCCTTGAGCTGTGACAACCATAAATGTTTCCAGATATTTTCACATGTCTCTTGGAGGAGTGAAATTGCCTACTGTTAAGAACCACTGGCTTAGTCGGTAGGTGATAGCTGTGGAGAGATGCAGTGAAGTGAGTAGACTGGAGAGAGATTTAGAAGGACGGGTAGGAGATAAGGTGTCAAGGATGACTTCTGTGTTTCTGGCTTAAACAGTAGGGTAGATGGCAGCACTGTCTTCTGAGGTGGGGAGCCCTGAAAGTGGGGAGCATGTTGAGGGTGGCATAGAGCATTTCAAGCATTTCAGCCCCTAAACAGTGGTTGATATATAGTAAACACTCAATGGATTTTTGCTGTGTAAGTGGATGCTGACTTTAAGATATCTGTAAGACGTGTAATAGGAGATAGGTAACTAAGGAGACATATAGTAGGAGCTGAGTAGCTGGGCTAGAGGTGGAAATTTGGGAATAGAGATGGATAAAATGTACTTGACTGAAAACCCAGGGACAGAGTCTATCAGCAGATCCTGCTGGGTGTTCTGCAATGTCTGAGCTATGATGTGTGACATATGTACCATATTTCTGAATTCTGAATCACGTATGTCTGCAAAAACTTTGTATAAGGAATCAAACCTATGGCTTTTATTAGCTTTTTTCTAAGTCACATTTTATTTTGCATTTTCCGTGTTTGGCACTGTCAGTCACTACCTCTGTTGTGATGTGCACTGTCTTCTCCATTTCCATTGACATCGCCTGCACTGACTTTTCTTTTTCCTCTGCAAACCAGCCCTTACAAGTACCTGATGTTTTTATTTTAATTTTTATAAGAGGAGAAAGGGTATTTAGATAGTGTTTCAGATGAAGCAATTTTTATAGGCTTATGACCCTATTTTTAAAAAAACTTGTACCTCTGACGGGTTCAAAGTGATGCTACAATTAATATCTGATGCAGAAGATATTAATCAGGTTTAGATTAGATTAGATTACAGAAAATAAGGGACTTACATACATTTTGGCTAAAGCAAAAGTAATATGCTTTTCAGTTGGAAGGTTAGTCAATTCATGTTTAGCAATGGGAAATTGTTTCTTTTTCTTTTTTTTTTTTCTTTTTTTTTATTATTATACTTTAAGTTCTAGGGTGCATGTGCATAACGTGCAGGTTTGTTACATATGTATACTTGTGCCATGTTGGCGTGCTGCACCCATCAACTCGTCAGCACCCATCAACTCGTCATTTACATCAGGTATAACTCCCAATGCAATCCCTGCCCCCTCCCTCCTCCCCATGATAGGCCCTGGTGTATGATGTTCCCCTTCCCGAGTCCAAGTGATCTCGTTGTTCAGTTCCCACCTATGAGTGAGAACATGCGGTGTTTGGTTTTCTGTTCTTGCGATAGTTTGCTGAGAATGATGGTTTCCAGCTGCATCCATGTCCCTACAAAGGACACAAACTCATCCTTTTTTATGGCAGCATAGTATTCCATGGTGTATATGTGCCACATTTTCTTAATCCAGTCTGTCACTGTTTCTTAGTTGCAGTCTGTGAAGTAAACTTTGTGATACTTTAGACCTGCATTGTTCAGTATGACAGCTACTAGTGCACATGTGACTGTGTAAGTTTAAATTAATTAAAATTTAAAATTCAGTTCCTTAGTTACACCAGCCACATTTCAAGTGCTCACTAGCCACATATGGCTAGGGGCTACATTGGACAGTGCGGATAGAGAACATTTCTGTCATTGCAGAAAATGATATTGGATAGTGCTGCTTTAGAGACATACAGTTGTATAAAATTAGTAACGTTACTCTTTTACAGTAAGTATTCAGGGAGATAATGCTACTTGCTTATATGATGCTGATATTTAGGTTAGAATCTTGGTGTTGTAATTTGACACTATTAGTGTAGAAGATTAGGGCAGGTAAGTAAGATTTGCCATGTGAGTAAATTGCTAGGGTTGGCAGTAAATAGTAGGTGGATAATTAATTTGAAAAGTACGTATTTTGATTTCTTTTTTAGCTCCCTTCTATTCAGCTTATATCCATATATATTTTTCTATGAATTTACTTTTTTACTTTTTTTCTTGTTATCTGAATACGGTCTTTTTTTTTTTTTTTTTTTCCTGCTTAGGCCTTTATAGTAATTAGAAATGTTTAATGGGTCAGACCAAATACACTAAATGGGACTTAGAGCATTTTTATGTGTTGTCCAAAGTGATTGTTTATGTGCAATACAATCTGTTTATTTCTAGTTTTACATGGTATGTATTTCTTATATTATATTTTAATATATTTCTTTCACTAGCTAGAGTTTCAGTCTTTAAAATGAAAGATTTGAACTTATCTGAGTACTGAACAGTTTTTAAATTCTTACCTCTCTCTGCTTTATGATTTTTTTTGCTTTATACTCTTTATGAGATATTCATAATGTAGTTATTGTACTTGCTTTGATTGACCCATGTATAAATACAAATATATATATATAATATATTATATATGTATATATACACATGCATATACATACTTTATTTTTGTAATTCCCTTTAATGCCTCTATAGTATGTTTTATTATTCTGATTCATATCTAGATATTTTACCTTTAAAATGTAATCTAGGCCGGGCACCTTTAAAATGTAATCTACAGGCTCACGCCTGTAATCCAGCTCTTAGGGAGGCCGAGGCAGGTGGATCACTTGAAGCCAGGAGTTTGAGACGAGCCTGGCCAACATGGGGAAACCCCATCTCTACTAAAAATACAAAAAATTAGCCAGATGTGGTGGCGTGCCTGTAATCCCAACTACTCGGGAGGTTGAGGCAGGAGAATCACTTGAACCCGCAGGTGGAGGTTGCAGTGAGCCGAGATTGTGCCACTGCATTCCAGCCTGGGTGACAGAGTGAGACCTTGTCTCAAAAAATAAAGTAAAATAAAATGTAATCTATTCTAAAATTCAGTGCTTTTTCCTAGTCTGTATTTTCATATAAGCTTTGAAATTTTTGAGGAAAACATTGAACAGTTGAGGTAATAGAGACAAAGAAAAGAGTGTTGGGGATGGAGTATCCTATATGTCTTACTTTGAAGTGCGGTAATGATACACCTTAAGCTGCATGTCTGATAACAGAAGTTTATTTTTCCCAGTTCTGGAGTCTGGGCTGTCCAAGATCAAGGTGCTGATAGATTTGGCATCTGGCAAGGACCTGCTTCCTGGTTCGTAGTCAACGATCTTCTCTCTAACCTCACATGGTGGAAGGGGCAGGAGAGATCTAGATGTCTTCTAGAAGGCACTAATCCCACACATGAGGGTTCTATCCTCATGACCTAATCAACTCCAAAAGGACTCACCTCCAAATATCCTCATATTGGGGATTAGGTTTCAACATATGAATTTTGGGACACTCTATAGCACTATATATTATGATATTAATTCCCCTTATTTGACATAGCAGGAATTTAAGTTTCACCATATTCACCCAGCACTTCTGAGAGCAGATTTGACAGATTATCTTTATAAAGATCCAGATAGTGAACTTTCAGCTTGCAGGACATACAGCCTCTGTCGCTATTCTACTCTGCTGGCGTCGTGCAAAGGTATCCATAGACAACATGTAAGCGAGAAGTGTGGCTGTGCTTCAGGAAAACTTTATTTACAAAAACAGGTGGTGGACTGGATTTGGCTAACTTGTATTCTAAGCTAACTTGTATTCTAACAGGGATTTTTAAAAAGAGCAGGAGGCAGAGAGAAACCTTTGCTACTAGCTTCAAAACTAGAAGTTTAAGTTTGCTGAGTGGTAATTTTAAACTTGCTAGAGCACAAATAATGAAATATATGAACTTTTAAAAATTAATGACTTACAGTCGGGGGTGGTGGCTCACGTCTGTAATCCCAGCACTTTGGGAGGCCGAGGCAGGTGGATCACAAAGTCAGGAGATCGAGACCATCCTGACTAACACGGTGAAACTCCGTCTCTACTAAAAAATACAAAAAACTAGCCGGGTGTGGTGGCGGGCGCCTGTAGTCCCAGCTACTCGGGAGGCTGAGGCAGGAGAATGGCATGAACCCGGGCGGCAGAGCTTGCAGTAAGCCAAGATGGCACCACTGCATTCCAGTCTGGGTGACAGAGCGAGACTCCGTCTCAAAAAAAAAAAATAAAAGAAAGACGTATCATGGATTATTGTTCTGAAGCAGGTGATTTTTTAAATGCTGATTGAACTGTTTGCCTTTCCCTTGGTATAGCTGTTGTGTAAAAGGGAAGTAAAATAATGTAAGGCCTGATATTTAACAGTTGAAGTGAGAACTATTATTCAAAACAATATAAAAGAGATAGTTAAATCACAGGATGTAAGATCAATAAACAAAAATCAGTGTTATTTCTGTATGTCAGAAATGAATAGTCCAAGTAAAATTGTAAAAATTCATTCTCAGTAGCACGAAAAAGAACAATATGCTTAGGAATTAGCAAAAGAAGTGCAAGATCACTACACTGGAAGGAAAAAGCATTGCTGAGAGAAATGAAAGAAGACCTAAATAAATGGGAGAGACACCATGTTATGGATAGGGAGAGTCAGTTCTTGTTAAGATGGCAGTGCTTTCACTTCCACATTTGAGCAACAGGTTCAGTGCAATCCCTGTCAGAATTCCAGCGAGCTGTTTTGTAGAAATTGGCAAGCTGATCCTAAAATTTAAATGGAAATAAAAATAATTTAAGATAGCCCCCCAAAAAG